TTTCGGCGCGGTAGCCGCCGCCTCGCACTTGGGGGGCCATTACCACTAGACCGGCGGCGGGGTGGCGCGAGGCCTCTCCCAGACGCCCAGGCCCGCGCTCAGTCCCATCTACGTCCAGGGGAGGAGTCCCCACGCCTTCCCACCGTTCCTTAGACTTCAGATTTGACTCCGTTCGCCGCACCCAGCCCCGGGGGTGAAAGGATCTGAAACCGTCTCAATCTTCCTTTAACAGCTGATTGCCCTCACCCCACCTCCCAACCCCTAGGGGAGGGTGACTGTGTCCCCCCACTTCCTCTAACTTCCATCTTCTTCTAGACCTCAGATCCCTGACGGGAGGTTTTCGGCTTTCCCTGTTGTTTCCTCTCATCCACCTGTGCTTAGGCCTGGCTCCGGGAAGCCCCCTCCATTAAGACCCCCCTCTCTTTTGAATTCCAAATCTTTTCTCATATTTTCTCTTCCCCATGGAGCTGCCCCGACCCCAGTAGGGTGGAGGCCTCTCACAGTCCACCTTCTCCTCCTGGGCACTTCAGCAGGCTTGGTCAGGGCCACTGCCCCCATGACTTACCTACGCGCTTTGGGGCCCCTCCCTCCCACCTCTATTCTCTCGGCGGGACAGGCTTGGTGTGTTTCTATTCCGTTCCAGACCCATTAAAGCTCCCAAGTTCTCTGCTGCCTCCTCTCTCAATTCCTTGCTTCACCAGAACCTTGTTTCAGGGAGGAAAGAAGTGAGATGCCCAGCGTAGGCCTGAGCAGAAAGGCCTGCCAAAGAAGAGCCGGAGAGAGCGAGGGCAAAGAGGCTGGGGTGCTTGCTACTGGAGGGGAGGGAGGAGCCCATGGTGATGGGCCCAGCCATGAGGGAGGTGCCATGTTCCAGATACACCCCTCCCACACACACACACACACTCACCTTGCAGCCGACCTCAGTCTGCCTCACCCTGCCTTCCACCCACACCTTCACCCTACTTTATGCCAATCTCATCCCAACACACATGGTCATCTCACCGTTTCCCATCTCACCCATCCTACACCTGCCCCTCATCTCATCCTAACCTCCATCCTACTTCGTCTCATCTCCACACAACTCAAACTCAATCTTTCCTCAGTCTCCCATTTCATCCACTTCTAACCCTCACTCAGACTTTCTCTCTCTCACCCTCACTCACAAGCCGCCGCCCTGCCCAGACATCTCCATCGTTCTCTCTGCATCTGCCGCCTCATTTTCAGGAGGGACCCCTCCGCCGTCCTCTCCTGGCCACTTCCAGCCAGGGCTTGTTGTGTACCCGCCTTCTCGCTAGTGGCGCGCGCCCTCTGCTGGTTGGAGGAGGGTACGTCCGGGCCAGGTTTTGCAGCTAAACCTTGGAAGGCTTTGCTGGGGCGAAGTGTGTTGGAGCCTCAGGTGTGTCGTCGTCCCCCACCGAGGGCTGGAGGACACCGAGACTTCAGAAAGGAGGGAGAAAAGAGGGAACCCCAGCCCTGCACTCCAGGTTCGACCTCAGGAATGTGGAAGCCTGAGAAGTGAGTCAAGTGTTTCCTTCTTCTGGCTGGGTCCTTTCCCTCGCCATCTAGAGGCCCTTCTGAATGCTGCTCCCAAGGGGACCACGGCTCTTACGTTCTCTCTGGGCCTTTTAAAAAACGTATTGGCAGGAAAACTGCCTTAAACATGTCCCCATAGATGGAAACAACGCCGGGGAAGGTACCTGAAGTGATAGCTGGGACCTCGAGCTGCACAACTAGGCAATCTCCTTGCTCCTCCTTCCTCTTGGTTCTGGTGTTTCTTTCCCAGGGCACATCTCTTCCTGGACCAAAGGCTCCTCGCTGGTTGGTGGGAGAATGCCTGGGCTCCCACAGGCAGTTAGGAGATTTCCCTAAGCCCTGTGGGAAGGAAGGAGAAATGCAGGTGGAAGGCTGGACAGTTAGTGCAGCCAGAGCCTGAATGCCCCTTCCCAGAGGGCTGATGAAACCAGCCAGGTCCACTAGGGAGAGAGTCTTGCTTTCTTTTCATTTTATTTTCCTGACTTTCCAAATAACACACACTCAGCATAGAAAAGTTGGAAAATACACACATAAGGCCCCCATTAAACATTAGTTGATGAGAGTGTAATGAAGAATGGGAAAAAGTCACCTACAGTCCCATTATACAGAGGCTATTATTCATATCTCTTTGTCATAATTTCCTGCCTTTTAGAATGTAATGGTAGCCTGCTCTAGTCGCCTAGCATTTGGGGTGGTATGTTCCACGTCATGT